TTATGACTGGAAGCAGAGTCATCAGTGTGCTTAAGACCAGCCACACTTGAGAGTCAATTCATAAAACTCCTATTTAACATGTGTTCCTCTAGAACCATTCTTGGTTATCATATGGCTTTGGCTGGGTTCTCTTGAAAGTAAAACTAGTAACTATAGAGCAAGCTTTATTTCAAGGAAATGGCTCGTCTAGTTGTGGACTTGGTAAGTCCCAAATCTGTGGATCAGACATCAGGCTGGAGGCTTCTCCTGATTCACATGATTGCAGGGGCTGATGGATCCAAAATAGGCAGGTCAGACAGCAAAGGCTACTGGCTTGTGGGGCTGTGGGAGCTGACAGGTCAGACAACAGGCTGCTGGTTCACATCTCAAGAACCAGAGGTAATAGGAGAGAGGGAGAGAGAGAGAGAGAGAGAAAGGATGCATGCCACACTGTTAAGGAAACTCAACCGATTGGCTGCTCATATCTGATAAAAAGATGAAGGATGATTCTGTAATATCTTCCAAACCACTGAGGATCCTGGTCTGGCTAAACAGAGACAACTGTAACCATCACATTCCTTCTCCTAGCATTTTTCCCATTGGTATATAGCATTCAGAGTCATATTCCAATTATTCATATGCACACATATCCATCATACAGCAAACAGACTACAAGCAGAAAGCAGATCTCATATTTCTCTCCTGGACCTCCCACCAAGCCTTGGGGTGATTGATAAGTCTCCCTTCCCAGCACCCAGTCCTGGAATGGTGAATGTGGCTCACTCCACTGTGGCATGAAGAGCCAAGAACACCGAGGGCTGGTGGCGGGTCTCTCCCATCAGCCTGGGTTCTCATTAAGAGCTAGCTGCCTCACCTCAAGGGAAAGAGAGTGCTAAGCAGTTCCTGTGTGCCAGGAGCTGTGCTGGACACTTTCCCAGTCTTGATCTCTTAGAACTCAGCAAACACCGGGGGGAGGGGGGGGGGTGCGTAATTGTGCTCATCCCACTTGAGGTGAGGAAATTGTGTTTAGAGAAATCCTGGAGTTGGGATTAAAATCTGTTTCTGGCCAAGTATGAAGCCCAGGTTATTTCCACTGCACCACAGCACAGAAGAGAAAAGACAGCGATATTGTATCTATAGATCCTGGCTGGTTAAATGAGTCTGTGTGCTCAATTGGCTAACACACTTGGCTAATAATGGGAAAACTGGAGATTCAAATACACCCAGAGGTGCCCTGAAAGGAAGGTTTGGGGATGTACTTCTGAAAAAACGCGGCCTCTGGAAACCCCACAGAGCACAATAGCACTCGGCCGCGGAGGGAGCCACCGAGTCACCTCAACAACCATCAGTCCTTTGCTGACAAAGAGGCATTTTCTGAGTTTGCAAAATGCTTGTCTATGTACACTCTCCATGCCTCTCCTGAAAGCCCATGAATCACCTTTCATGATTCTTTCAGAATGGGGCCCTTCCAAGAAAGGACACGTGTTTGTGGGATCAAGAATTGAGCTTTACCCAGCGTGCTTTGGCCTTTGTCGGGACTTCCTGAGAAATAATTAAATTCTGGGAATGTTTCGGTGTGCCTTTATAATCTAACCCCCAGTTTTTATGCCCAGGTGAAGGAGCGGGCCAAGCCAGAAAGACCAGCCTCAGAGCAGCTGAGTGGGGTGGGGACGGGGTTTTGCTCCAATCGATCATGCCTCCGAGGGCGCTCCCTGCGCTCCCTTGGCTGGTGACCGATCTCGTGCTCCTTGTGAGACTGTGGCCTTTGGGACAGGGAAGCTCCAGCTGGGAAGCCCCCCAGCCCTCCCGGATGTGCTTCCTTTTCCGTTGTATTCTTTCTTGCCATGTTGGTGGTGCCACTGTTTGGTGCCATCAAGTTCGTTCCGACCCCCAGCGACTCTATGCCCAACATAACGCAACACTGGTCCTGCACCATCCTCCCAATCGGTCCCTTGTTGGAGCCCAGTGTTGCAGCCATTGTGTCCGTCTGCCTCGTTAAGGACATTGCTTTCTTTTGCTGCCCCTCTACTTTACCAAGCGTGATCTCCAGGGACTGGCTCTCCTGACAACAGGCCTCAAGTAGATAAGACGAAGTTCAAATTGCCTCTCGAAAGCACACTGGCCATCGTTCTTCCAAGACAAGACTGTCCGTCCTTTGAGCAGGCCATGGTGCTCTCAATATTCTTCTCAGCACCACAGTGGAAATGCCTCGATCCCTCTGTTGTCTTCCTTCTCCAATGGCCAAGTTTCACATGCATAGGAGGCCAGTGAAAATACCCTGGTTTGGATGAGGCACATCTTAGTCCCTAAAGTCACATCCTGGCTTTTCAACATTCTAAAGAGGTGCAGCAGACTCACTCAAGGTGAGGTTTTTTTTATTTCTTAACTGCTGCTATCATGAACATTGATTGAGGATCCAAGAAAGACAAACCCTAGACACCTTCCATCTTTTCTCCATCGACCATGTTACCTACTGGTCCCGTTGTGAGGACTGTGGTCTTCTGGACATTGGGTCACAATCCACACTGAAGGCTATAATCCCTGAGCTTCATCAGCAAATGCCTCAAGTCCCCCTCACTTTCAGCAAGCAAGGTTGTGTCATCTGCATATCACAGGTGGTTAATAAGCCTTCTTCCAATCCTGATGCCACACTCTTCTTCATATCATTCAGATTCTCTGATGATTTGCTCAGCATCAAGATTGAATGATCATGGTGAGCAGATACAGCCCTAACTACCTCTGGATCCCTGTCTGAGGTGGCAGGAGGCAGCTGTCCCAAGAGCAGTGCACTGGTGGTTGGCAGACAAACAAGGTCCTGCTACATCAAGGCCCTGTCTGCTGCATTAAAATTCATATTATCCCAGCAATCCTGTGACAGCCACTCTGTTGTATTTGTTTATGCTTGTTCATATTGGGGTGCATCTCGGAGGTGTGCCACTATTGGGGTCACCCTCTTGAAGCTGTGTTGTTTCTCTGTTTTTAAATAAGTGAAAGGGATGTTGAACTTAGAGGGAAAGCAAATAGAACACGGATTTTGCCGGGAGGGGGGATACGAAAGGGTGGGGGAGATAAGAGGGAGATCATGTTGAGTCCAGGAAGAAAAAGCATGTTTGGAGATTATGGAAGTAATTGTACAATTGTGTTTGACATGATTGAACTATGGGATGATAAGACATATGCATTCGCTCCCAAGTTACAGCAAATAAAAAAAAAAAAAAAGCATAGATCCAGGAATTTGGGCTCGCACTAAATCCTAACTCGTTTAAAAACAATGAGTTCCTACAACATGGCCCTGCTAGATACTCTCCCTCAGGAAAGGACCACAGAAGATACGGTGCCATAGTAAAATGTGGCGAAGAAACAACTTTTAGATAAAATAGCGTCTGGGGTCTTAACGGCTCACCTCCAAACAAGCAGCCATCTAAGAGAAATGTCAACTACGTCCACATGGAAGAAGCACACCTCATCAGTCACTGGAGGGGCAGAACCCATATAATCCGAAGTCGAAGAGGGATCGTATCAGAGCTTGAGCTGCGAGACTGGTGTGTAGAAGACAGTGGATGGCAGTGGGAGCTCAAGACTCACCGGTGGAACTACACGGGAACAAGCCTCCAGACTCCCCTAGCTAAAACCGAGGGCTGAGCGGAAAGCGGTCACTAAACAGTGCTGGGGAGAGAGGAGTATCAAAGACCAAAGGCAGTTAAAACTCATCCGTAGATGGCCCCTAAGATGGTTTCCTAAATGTTCTGTATTTGGGGGTTCTGTTGTTTGGTTTGGTGTTTGTTTGCTCATAGTAGAGTGTATCTCAGAGGTGCTGTGTCCGCGGAGGTCACCCTCTCCAAGCTTGTCCGCTTTTCGTATATGGGACCCAGGACTGATGAACCTACAGGAACAGCAAGTAGGCTATGGGGAGAGGGGGAACGGGGTACAGTGTGGTGGGAAGGTGGGTAAAAGTGAAGCGATGTCAAGGAGTCCATGTAGAAAAAGATTGGAGACTGATTGTGGTAACTACTGTACTATTCTACCTGAGGTGACTGAAACACGGAATGCTGTACCGTATATACTTGAGTATAAGCCGACCCGAATATCAGCCAAGGCACCACAAAACCGCATAAAAAATGTGCTGAAAAACTCAGTTTATCCACAAGTATATATGGTATGTATTAAATCCCAACTAATAAAAAAAAAAAAGTATTTGGCTTGCATCAGAATTGGCCATGTTGTTAGAACAGAAGCCCACCATTCAAGTTGGGGACTATTTGTATTGGGAATTAGCCAACCAATCAGCAAGCTCTGTACTTCACCAGGGTTCTGAGAGCCAAATTTCAGCAACGTAGTGTCCCTCAGACTTTATTCTTTGCAGATTTCTATTTCAACTCAATCTTAATTCTACTGTACTTGTCATACCCTGATTTTATATTTCGTTTGTCCCAGGTACCTACCCACTGCTCTTGAGTTAATTCTGACTCAGGGTGGCCCTACCAAAGGATCACCACCCCACAGGAGTCCCAAGGCTATAATCCTTACTTGAGCCCTGGTGTCGGAGTGGTTACCCACTGGGCTGGGATTCACCAGGTTAGCAGTTCAAAAGCACCAGCCTCCCCTCAGGAGAACGATGGAGCTTTCTACTTCCTTGAAGTTACGGTCTCAAAGAGTTAGTCTCAGAAACTCACGGGAGCCGTTGGACCGTCCTATAGGGTCACTGTGAGTTGGCGTAAATCGATGACGGCGAGTTTGGGTTTATCGTTCTCTGAGCAGATCTTTCTTTCTTGAGGTGGCTGGTGGGTTGGAACCCTCAGCCTTCCAGTTAGCCCCCAACCATTTAACCACTACACTGACAGGGCTCCTTGTTTGCCAGTAAGCCACCTCCAATCCATTATGAAATGGGCCAGATACGTCTATGTACACATGCTTGTCACACACGGGGATGATAACCTATAAGGTCTGTTGCCGCTTTGCCTGAAGATGTGTCAATTTTTAGTTAAAAAAACTAAATGAAAAAAATGACAGGAATCTTTAAAAAAAATTTTTAATTAAAAGAAAAAAAGCAAAACATCAGCATTTCCTTGTAATAACATTTTCAAATAAGTACAACAAAAACTCTTAAGTCCCATAATAAAAAAGCTAGTTTTAGTAAATGCTCCATTCTCAAAATGATGTTTCTTTTTTAATTATAAAAATCTCCATTCCCATCTCACCCTTCCTTACCTACCCCTTCAGGTATATAATTCTAACACTAGCAAGTCTGACAAAATCCCTGTAGACCCCGGAGCAGGGAAGACAAGGTCGTCAGAGAACATGGTGGGCTGTCCGTTTCCAGCCCAAGGCCTCGGGGTGCCAGAGGACCACTGGAGCAGGGCAGGCCTGGTGCGGACCACAGCCTCTGAAAGAGATCAGGGGCATGAACAGGAACTGCGCTGGGAACTACTCGCACAGCCCGGGGCAGGATCTCAGGAGCCCCAGATCAACCAAAGGAGATCCAAGGGGGCTCTTGAGAGGCCGGCCGGCCAGTCGCAGCTTCATGCCACCATTCCACACTGGAGGACCCGGGAGGGGCAAAGAGGCTCCTGCCATCCCACAGGAAGGGACCTGGGACGGGTGGCTGGAGCAAAGACTTCAATCATTTTTATCAGTTTACAAATATTTAAGACGCCCGTGGACGACAAGGAAAAATCCCACTGCTGCCTTGAGTCGGCCCTGGTGCCCTCAGTCTGAAGGTACTACAAGAGAGCAGGCTAAACTCACTTCCCACAGCCAGGCCTCACCGGGGCCTCCGAGCAGGATCAGGAGTCATTAGGAAGTCCGAACAGCTTCACAGTCCCTGCTTCCCGACTGCTGTCATATTTGCCATCTTTGTCATCACAGGCAAAGGCCAGCAGAGGCCTTTTGGGGTGCCACGCCACAGTGAAGGTTGGGGACTCACACTGCACCTCCCACAGCTTGTCTCCTACAGACATCAATAGAGAAATAAATCAGTAAGTCAATAACCAGAGCCAACATACACTAGGTACTTATCTATGAGGCATTAAATCAACTGAGTAACCTCAGGAACAATCGTTACTTCCACAGAACACTGAGGCACAGAGAGGGTCACAAGACAGTAAGAGCCAGACATGGGTGCAGGCAGATTAACTTAGAACCTACATCCTCTAAACCAGTGGTTCTCAGCCTTCCTTATGCCACGACCCTTTAATACAGTTGCTCATGTGGTGGTGACCTCCCCCAGACAAAATTATTTTCGTTGCTACTTCATCACTGTCATTTTGCTACTGTGATGAATCGGGCGACCCCTGTGAAAGGGTCGTTCGACCCCCAAAGGGGTCGTGACCCACAGGTTGAGAACCACTGCTCTAAACCCTCACTTACCATCTCTGAATATACGGAAACAAGACGGAAACAAGTTGACAATCTTACACATCAGGTGGCTTGTACTTTACCAAATCGCAGTAACAGCCCAGCAAGGCAGGTAATAACTTTGAAGGCGGGGATTTAACAAAGTCGCAGCTCAGGAAGCAGCAGGGTTAGCACCTGCCCTGAGCCTCGGCGCTCCTAAACCAGGATGCCTCTCCAAAAAAAATGTATCTCTCTGACTTACTGAAGGTATAGGAGCCCTGGTGGCGTCAGTGGTTACACAATGAGCTGCAATCCACAAGACTGGCAGTTCAAAGCCACCACTGCTCCACGGGAGAAAGGCAGGCCTTCTACTCTCTGAACCCACCGTAGTAGCAGTTCTACCTGTCCCACGGGCTCACTGGGAGTCGGCATCGGCTGCATGGCAGTGAGTTTGGGTTTTGTTTTTATCGAAATGTTACACAATTTCTTTTCCAAAACTGTTATTTCTTTAGCTCTGTATAACGCCCCCACCTCCACCACCCCCCCATCTTGGGATTCATATTAGTCTCTGTAAAATGTGATGTTAATTACAAAGCGCCAAGCCCGCTGAAGTGTATACTTCAAATGGGTGGAGACATCTCACGTGATGGTTAGCGTTCCCTGTGATCTGGCCAAGCAGCAGTCTAGCTGCTGTACCACAAAGGAACTGATGGCAGTACAATGTGATGTGACCACCTCCCATCACGTAATGCCATCAATTGGTTGGATGCAGAGTCTCCTTAGGGTGAGGGCCCCCCCAAAACGCAAAAAAAAGGTGCAACCGGAACCCCTCTCCCTCATCCGCAGCCCACCCTACAGGACCGGGGACACCAGCCTTCAAGCCTCCTACGTGCCGCCAACCTACAGATCTTCGACTTGCCAGTCCCAACAATCTCACAATTGTTTGAGCTAATCATTTGAAAAAAAACTTTTATCCATTCCACCCCGCACCCATCTCACTGCTTCTCTATGTCTAGAGAACGCTGGCTCAAACATTACGCCATCGTGTCTCAATCAGGCCGTTACAGCATTAGACAAACACACACTACAGAGATATACGAGGTCTTAGTACTTCTGTCCATTACACTCGAGTGTGGCAGGCAGTAGATAAATGATGTCTAAGACAAATGATGGAAGCACAAAGGGTAGTTCCTGAGGCTGAGAGCGCTCTCGTTTTTCTCTAGTCCTTTTAGCTCCATGTCATTGCTGTAAGATTGGCTAAGACCAACTACCCAATCCAAGGGTCCAGAGTAGACATAAAGAAGACATAATGTTCCTAAAATAACCCCGTGGCTTCCTAAGTAAGTTACTCTGTGAGTGCTACACACAGAGACAAACCATGGAAAACTGGCATTACTATTTTAGATCGTCCAAATCCAGCACGTGCAAGCCCTGTGTGCGGTGTGCTGAAAACGAGAAACTGGGCAGTGAGATAATTAGGTTATGTTACACCTGTACAAGACAGAAGGAATTCTTACACAATTTTAAAGTGTAACCATTAAAAGTATGCAGAATCTATCTAGTGTATGCTTCTCTCACTTTTCTATGTCCAAGTTGTTTTGTTTTTAAAACTACATCTACTCTGATAAGTCCCTAAAATTACATATTACATATGATTATTTACATTTACCTCTGGGTGAAAAATATTTTTACAATACACAACAATAAAAGGTCTCTTTAGACGTGACACCTCAGGTGACTTTGTTTCTCCTCCTACTATTCCATCGATAACACTGTCCATTTCAGGTGAAGGGTTGGAGCTTATTATAAAATATGTTCCAAACGATGTTTTCCTTCAGAGCACCCTCCTCACCGAGGGCGGTAACACGCACAAGCTTGCCTTCAGGAGACCGTGGCGGCCGTGCGTGTGAAGCACCGTGCTGAAATGAGAACGCACTGGAAACGGAGCACAGAGGCCTGAGGCGCTGGCATCACAGTGGAGGTGCCTGTTACCTGTCTGGACTTCAGCAATGTCGATAAAATGATCCTCCGACGCGGAGGCCAGCATTTTCCCATCGTGGCTGAAGCTGAGGGTCCTCACAGGCCAATCCAGCCTGCAGCGTGGGGTGGACAGAGCGCGTGATCAGTTCCCCCCAGAGAAGGCGACCCGGAAGGCACGATTTCACCCCAGTGACTAAGCCCGGAAGGCACGATTTCACCCCAGTGACTAAGCCGTTCGCCCAGCAAGGGCAGTGCTGGCAGGGCTGCTCACCTCGAAAAGCAGCGCACACACACCAGCTCGTCCACGTCCCACAGGCTGACCAGGGCGTCTGCGCTTCCCGTGGCAAAGTACTTGCCCGTGGGGTCGAACTTGATGCAGATGCAGTTGGAGGGGTGGGCGTTGACGGACTGCACGGGCTTCAGCTCTGGGTAGCTGAGACACAGAAGAGCTGGCCGTCAGACAGCAGCACAGGGTGGGGATGCTGAGAGAGCCACAGGCCAGAGAAGTCACGCCAGACAAGGGAGCAAATGCCAACAACTGCGATTCAAGAAGGCTCCCCCAACATGAAGCGTGCCGGGCGGAGCATACCACCTCCGCGAGACCAACGGACACCGAGACACACACCCGAAGAGTGACTGGACTTCAAGACAGAGCCTCCTCTGGCCATCAAAGCAAAAAGGACCGGTGTCAGCAGACCACTGGACAGAGATCTGAATGCCCAGACAAAACGGAGTAGCTTCTTTAAGACACACAAGGTAGAAAATACGGAATCACCCTGAAGAGGCTGCCAAAATATGGGACAATTTAAACTCAGGTAAGGACAATAATTATAATAGAGGACATCGTATCAACTGTGCTTAAATACATTTTTAAAACTTAACTGGGCCCCCATGGAGGTGATATGGAATCTGTTCCTATCTGGCAATCTGGTGGCAAAGGACAAAGCCAGCACTTCTCTTGCCTTTCCTAAGTGAACTGCCCTGCCGGGCAGTGCTTGGCTCTGTTGTACGCCGGTCACTATGAGTCTGAAGACGCGCAACGCCTCCAACCCACAACAGGGTCAAAACCCAGGAGGTGAGAAGCACTGGAGTCAGCAAAATCAGACGGGCAGAATCTCCACAAGTTCACCGTTGGGAATTTTCAGCAGATAATAAGGAAAAGAGATGGAAGAGGATCCTGTAATTTAACATCCTTAAAAGACATCAGACTTCCAAGTTTATAGGTATGCATACTTGGGAGAAAAAATTACAAAATGATTACTGTGAAAGTCAAGAAAATACAAGAGGGCTTCAAAAACATTCTTGGAAAAATCCCATTATCTTTTCATTCCAGTCCCTTATATACTTTTGAGGACAGAGCGTAGCAAATACTCATTCCTGACCTGTGTTAGACTACATGGGTGTTAACAGTTCATTAATCTCTATATTTGTTTTGTGTGATTTTTTTGTACCTGTTTAATTTAAAGTTGCTAGGTTAAAAGATTATTTTTGAAAAAACCTTTAATAGGATCTACACTGCCTAGAAGATAAACAACGCCAAGTTGCTAACGATAGAATTCAAAGGCTTTGACAGAGTGGCCCCGAATTACGCTTCAGCTTCACCTTGCCCTCACCACGCCCTCTCCGAGCATCTCAACCACCCCTCCCCAGCAGCCCTGCCCAACAGGACTCTCCACACAGGTCACACGCCTTTGTGCCAAGGATGCTACTTCCCGTCCTCTTTTCCTGGTTCAACCTCCAAGGTCAAGCTCAAAAGCTGCCTCTCCAAACCCCAATCGCCTATGTTCCTTTCTTTGGGACTCCAACAGACCCTGCCCTCTCTGTCACAGAACCTATTTCACTCTGTTTGCATTACTCACGTGGGGCAGCAGTAGAAAGAATTCACCAGACCTGAATTCCCACTCCTCGTGCACTTATTCCGAGAATAAAGATTTGCTGAGAGGCTACTCTGTGTAGCAAACACACTGGGAGAGGCAACAGGAACCCCACAGTAAGCAAGTTAACCTCGTGGAACCTACAGTCTAGTGAGAGGCACCCAAGTCAATGTGTAATGACAATACACAATGTGCACAGTGACAATACACAATGGCAGCAGCGCGGAGAGAGATGGCTTCCCTGGAAGAAGCTATTTTAAGCTCAGTCCTTAAAGCAGTAGTTCTCAACCTTCCTAATGCAGCGACCCTTTACTACAGTTCCTCATGTTGTGGTGACCCGCCAAAATAAAATGATTTTCATTGCTACTTTGTAACTGTAATTTTGCTACTGTTATGAATTGTGATAATAAATATCTGATATGCAGGATGTATTCTCATTGTTACAAATTGAACATAATTAAAGCATAGTAATTAATCACAAAACAATATGTAATTATATATTGTGAGATATTTATGTGTTTTCCGAAAGTCTTAGGCGATCCCTGTGAAAGGGTCGTTCGACCCCCAAAGGGGTCGAGACCCACAGGTTGAGAACCGCTGCCTTAAGGGTAAGCATGAGCCCTTTCACAGTGTGTTCTGCTCCAGTGCCCACTAGCTGACTAGTGACCTCACTTCTCTGAGCCTCAAAGGTGCTGAGCAGATGTTTGAACTCCTCACTAGTTTCCCTATAAGCCCCTCAAGGTAAAAAAACAAACAAACAAACAAACAAAAACTCACTTTCACAGAGTTGATTCTGACTCATGGTGACCCTATAGGACAGGGTAGAATCGACCCTGGGAGTTTCCAACACTGTAACTCTTTACCACAGGAGTACTAGCACAGTTTCAAACTGCTGACCTTGCAGTTAGCAACCAAACTTGTAACCCTATACACTACCAGGGCTCCGCTCAAGGTAGTCACATCTAATTCATTTCTGTCTCCACTGGCACCACCTGGCACAGACAGGTGTCCACGGTGTAAATGCCTCTAAACGGTCTGACAGTCTCCTAAGCCAGGACTGCTCACCTGAGGATGTTGATACACCCATTGCCATTTGTCAGGAAGAACATGTTATTGTCATTGTTCCAGGAGATTTCGTTGACCTCAAACTTGAACTGCTCCTCTGCTTTGGACCGGTGTGTCTTGGCATCAATGAAGGTTACCACGTCGTCCTTGTTGCCTACGGCAATGGTCTGCCCATCTGGACTCCAGCAGATATTAATGTTCTCCCCTGGGAACCCAGAGACAGTCAGCAAGACAATCCTGCAGGAGCTAATACGCTAGCCTAGAAAAACGGTCAGAGTGAAACGTCCTCCAAGGTGCATGTAGACCGTGGGTGGGAACTACCACTTACAGCTCACAGTCCAGTGGCCCATTCATCTGCCAATTTCCCCATTGGGTCCTCCAGGTAATGCTCTCAGGTACACCCTATTACCCCCGCTGCACAGGAATGAGTGACTAGCCCAAACGGCGGAGCTATGAAATGACAGAACCCCGCCTAACGTGAGCCTCCTTGTCGTGTGACACCATTTGCCAAGCGTGAGCCATCCCTATACCACCTTCACAATCGGTGCCCACTGTTCGTAACAGCTACGCTTCAATCGAGAGTTTTACGATCTCTTTTACTTAAGGAAGTTTAGTTTCACCTGAAGCAATGAATCCTACATAAGCCGTGACTTTCTCGAGCGGACATTAAGATACAAACGTCAGTCTAAGATTCAGCCTTGTACCAGCTGAACCACTTGTGCGCTACTAGTTGTTGTGTGTCGCAAAAACCAGACACCATTCCACTTCCTGGTACAATTCTTTTTTTTTTTAATATATAAATCATTGTATTGGGTTTTCTTATAGCTCTTATTATAACAACCCATACATCAATTTTATCAAGCACATTTGTAAATATGTTGCCATCATCATTTTCAAAACATTTTCTTTCTAATTGAGCCCTTGGCTCAATTAGTATCAGCTCCTCTTTTTCCCCTCCTGCTACCCTTCATGAATCCTTGATAAATTATAATTATTATTATTTTCATATCTTACACCGTCCACTGTCTCCCTTCACCCATTTCTGTTGTTTGTCCCTCCGTGGGGTGGGGGGTGTTAATACATCAAGTTCCCCCTTTCTTCCCCAACCCTACCCCTACCCTCATGATATCACTGCTCCCATTACTATTCCTGAGGGGTTTATCTGTCTGGACTCCATGTGTCAAGAGCTCTTATCTGTACCAGTGTACAAGCTCTGGTCTAGCCGGAACTGAAAGGCAAGACTGGAGTCATGATGATGGCCTGGGGTGGGGGGGGACACACGACATTATGGGGAGTAGGAGTATTAAAGAACTAGAGTAATGTTGTATGTTTCATCGGTGCTATACTGCATCCTGCGTGACTCATCCCTTCCCTGTGACCCTTCTGTGAGGGGTGGCCGGTACAGTTCTTGTTACAAGTTCAGTGGCTCAAGCCAACTTCACTGACAGACGGCTATTTCTTCACATGTTCACATCTGTGATTCATCTTCAAATACATCAGGTGCATCTCCAAGTCACATGTGCGCCGTGGTTACCTGGCAGCTTTGTTTTATTTGTTACTGGCATATAAAATGTTGGTACATCTTATCATCGATGCAGCGCTAGAGTCAGTGACATGCATACAGTAAGTGGCCTCTAGCTTCCCGGGACAGCACCTGTGAAGAACTCAAAAAACCAAACTCGCTGCCATCGAGTCGTTCTGACTCCCAGCGACCCTACAGGATAAGGAGGAACTGCAGCCTTGGGTTTCCAAGACTGTAACGTTTCACAGGCGGGGGAAGTTTCACCTTCCTCCCGAGGGCCGCTGGGGTTGCCAACTGCTGACCTGGCAGTTAGCAGACCAACACGTGAACACCATGCCAGCAGGGCCTCTCACTCTGCGAAGAACAGGGCCGGTTACTAGCCTGTGCTGCTTTCGGGTCCTTTCCTCGCAGCCCACCCATGCACTCCACACTCGGGCCATTCTGAACTAGCAAGCCTATTCCCTCACCCCCTCGAACCTGGAATGTCGACCTGACTCTGAGAGCCTGCTCACGTTCTGTCTCCCGGGGGCAGACCTACGCATTTCCATCCTGGGGATCCAGCGGGTAGGCATTTCCAATATAGGGTGAACCATGTCGTATCCTGTCAGCTTTTCGACACGTTGCTCTTGCTGCACTAAACCGTGGTTCTGAAACTGCAGACTGTGTCTTATCCAGCTCAGGATACCCCACATGGAGCCCCACTAAGGATTTATTGAACAGATCACAGTCGTGTAGCTTCCTCCTGCCCTCTCGGGGTGCTCACCTTTAGTGTTCACGGTGGCGATGCACTTTGTCGTCCTCACATCCCAGATACGGATGGTTTTGTCCCCAGACGCAGTGACAAAGAGGTCTGGATTGCTTGGATGCCAACAGAGCTGGTCCACGCTATCCCCGTGTCCCCGATAATTATTTTCTTTGACCTGAAAGAGCAAGAATCCAGATGTCACTGAACACAGACACACCTGTTTCCACGTGTAACGTTCTGTTATGGTTGTTTTTTACAGGACAACCGTATGTACAACTCCTTACTTGGCCTCATTCAAACCCTGGTATCTTGTGACCCAAAAATGCTACATAATTTTTTTTAAAAGTCCTTCTAAAACTCTTTGGAATCCTGCCCCCCAGTCATAAAGGGGCTGTTCTGAGACTGGGTTCCACACCAACTCCCCGATCCCGTGGTGGTCCCCGGCTTTCCACCTTTACTACCCGGCCCCCAACCCACCTGCTCAAGCCCACAGGCTGCCTGGTCCCGACCAAAGGGGCGCTGCCCCAGCCCCTCGCCAGGACGCAACCCCTTCCCACCCCGCACCCCACGCCCAGACTCCCCGACTCCCCCTCCATCCTCATTTCTTCACGGCTCTCCCCCTTCTTGTTGCACCAGCTCAGGGGCAGTCTGCGGCCCTCTCCCACCCTGGCGCCCATCCACGGCCTCGGCCTAGCCTCGTGAGCTCACCAACCGGTCTTTCTCCAGCAAGAAGACGCTCGCCGTCTTGTCGAAGGAGCCCGAAGCCAGGCGGCGCCCGTCGCAGCTCCAGGCCACCGAGTGCACCTTGGCGCTGTGCGCCGGGAACTCGCGAGTCTTGCTGTGGCCCCGGAAAAGCTCCTGCATGCCGACCAGGTAGCGCGATGGGCCGCTGGACACGGTGCTCCAGGAGGCTATCGAACCGGGACCACCCTGGCCCAGTGCTGAGGCCCCCAAGGCGGTCGCAGGGGCGGCCATGCCGAGCTCTCCGCCGCAGACCGGAACGGCGCCCGCAGTCCAGCGGCAATCAGGCCTGCCGCCGCCGCCGCGCGCATGCGCTCGGGAAAGCCCCGCCCCCCCGCGCACCCTCAGTGCGCACCTATTGCCGCGTGGACTACAAATCCCAGCATGCCGCGCGCGCACGCCTAGGCCCTCTCAACCGGAAAACGTTACTTCTTAAATTGGGCTCTAATTTTCCCGAGGTTTTAGGCATTTTATTGTCCCCCTGGAAGCCTTAGGGGTGTAGTGGTTACGTACTGGGCTGCGATCTGCAAAGTCAGTAGTTCAAAACCACTAGCTTGCTCCTCAGGAGAAAACCAGGTATTTTTTATTCTTTTGATAAAGACTTACAGTCTCAAAAGTATCTTGGGGGAGAAAAAAAGTCACAGTGTGTGAAACTCACAGGGACAGGTCTTCCCTGCCCGGTGGGGTCACTATGAGTCGTCCTGACTCCATGCAGTGAGTTTTGAAAATAAAGCCCTGGTGGTGCTGTGAGAGTTAACCACAAGGTCTGCAGTTGAAATCCACCACCTATTTGGTGGAAGAAAAAATGAGGCTGCCTGCCGCTGTAAAACTGCAAAGATTTATTGTCTTGGAAACCCTGTGGAGCAATTCTGCTCTAGCCTAAAGGATCCCTGTCTGTCACAATCCCCTCGATGGCAATGAGTCAGTATTATTGGCTTGCTACTGTTTCCCTAAGGACCCCTGAGAGCGCAGTGGTTAAAACGCTCACCTGCTAACCCTAAAATGGGTGGTTGCTATGAACCAGCTCCTCTGGGGAAGAGATTTTTGACTTTCTGCTTCCGAAGCCAAAGAATTGCTTCAACTCATAGTATATGAATTCCTAAAGATTAATGTAATCTTTGGGATTACACCCTCGGAAACCCTGTGGGGCAGTTCATTGTTTCCTAATGAGTCTTGGTTGCACAGCAATTAAGCACTAGGCTGCTAACCAAAAAGTCTTCCTTCAAACCCATCCGGTGGCTCCCTGCTTTGGTAAAGACTGTGGTGTGTGCTGGCACTCAATCCCTGCTCATAGAAATCTTATGTGGGAGAGTAGCACTGCCTGCCCAATAGGGTTTCCTGGCTGGAATCTTTGAAGGAGCATGCCTGCCTGGTCTTTTCTTCCGCAGAGCAACTAGAGGCCTCAAACCACTGGCCTTCTGGTTATTAGCCAACCACTTTAATCAACGCATCCAGGAAGCCCTATAAGGCAGTTCTCTGTCAGATGGGGTCGCTGTGAAGTTCAGTCCTGCAGAGGAATGCCAGGTCCTGCTATCAGTGCCGGGTGGTCATCCACAGGGCACCAGCAAGTCCCACCCCATGTGGATTGTAGATGCCAGAGATGAGCCCCACCCACCCATGCTCCCCCACCCCCGCACACACAAACACCAGCAGCAGCAGCAGCAAGAGTTAAACAAAAGTTTATTTAAACATAGAGACAGTTCAAAATGAAATGAAGAGTGGGGTCAAGCGAGGTGGCCTCAAGAGGTGAGAACCCCACGCTAGGGAAATGCTTCTTGTTTTTACAGGCACATTCAAAGGGATGGGGGCTGCAGCTCCGCAGATGGACAAGCTGCTAATTGGCTGCCAAGTTCGTCCTTGGATGTCCTGTATATTTCTTTCTCATTTATCTCAGGCTACAGTGGTGTCCGGGTGTTTCCAGTTTTATCTCAGGCTGTAACTCTGGTCTGGAGGTGTGGGCTTTTTCCCAGGCCATAACTCTGGGTTGGTCAGATTGTCTATCCACAAGCTAGAACGTAACTCCAAGTCAGGTTGTCCAGCCAGCCTGGCCTCAAGGTTGAGACATTTATCAGGCTTGTTGTCTCCTGGCCCATTGTCCCTTCTCTTAGCAAGCAGGTTTGTTCCCTTAGCAAGAAGCCCCTATCTTGTCCCAGTCAGCCACTATGAGTTGCAATGGGCCGGATGGCTGATTAGTCCACTTAACTACTTCTTGGTAGGCATATTTTTATATGTGTTTGATCAAGGAAGTGAACCACCTCACAATCTCCATTTCCCCATCACACTTTTATTTCAGAGTTGCTGCCCACCTAGTCCCACCGCCCACCCATTGCCTGCCCCTCCCCCGACACTCTCTGCTTGATAAGCTTATTCTTGGAAAAGAGTTAGGACTTGTTCAAGATGAGAGCAACTAAGAAGAGGTCTGGAGATTTGTCTGAAAAACAAATCTGTTGGGTTTTGTTTTTTTAATACTCAGCCCAAATTAAAAAACGCACTGCCATTGAGCTTGTTCTCACTCAGCATAGCCCTGTAAGGCGACTCCAACGACTTCTTTTGCTTTCTGAAACTGTCCATCTCTATGGGAGCTGACAGCCTCATCTTTCTCCCAAGGAAGAGATGGTGGTTTGGAACTGCTGACCTTGTGGTTAACAGCCCAATGCACAGCCCACTATACCACCAGGGCTCAAGATATTACATGGTAAACAGCTGATTGTTTGATGGATGTGAGCCCAGTGGCCGGTACTGGGCAAGGCTCTGAAGAAGACACATAGTTGGATAAAAGTTTTCAGTGGTGATGAGGCACTGGAAATCTATTTAAAACAAATATATTGTGAGACTACAATTTTCTCATAATAAGAGTTTAAAAACAAACTTTATTTTTTATTACAAACTGTTTATATTTTAAGGGTGGCACACCAAGACTTATACACCCATGTTCATTGAAACATTATTCAAAATAGACAAAAGGTAGAAACAACTGAAATGACCCTCAGCAGGTGAATGGATAAACCAAATGTGATACATACCTACAAGGGAGCATCACTGCTGGGAAAAGATCTGTGATTTTGATACATGCTGCATGTCACATCCACAGCGCTCCTGCAGGTGTTCATCCTGGGGTGTGAGGCTTGTGTGAGGCTGTGAGGCTGCAAGCTGTGTCACCCGTGTTTCCATAGCAGCAGGGCTACCAGGGTGAACCAGTTTCTGTGGAGCTTCCAGACCAAGCACCAACGACACCCGGCTGTCCGCTTCTGAGGAGAAGGCCGTTGGCAGCATTCTGAATACCAGTGGCACGATGTGGAGCACACAGAGCCCGAAGAGGGAGCCCTCGGGTCAGCAGCACTCACACTGGGGCTGGAGAAAAGCCGCCCCTCAGAGTCGACGTGAATGGCGCTGACGAAGGAAAGCAGGAAAGCGTTCAGGGACTTCATTGGCCGACGGGCGTGGCTCAAAATGAGAAGAAACAGCTGCAAACATCCAGTACTAATTAGAACCTGGACTGGAGGAAGTATGACTCTCTCGGGAAATTCGAAATCGTCAAGAATGGACCGCCTAAAGTGAACGGAACTGGACTGATAGTGGCCGTTTAATTAGACAATGATACGGCTTTCTGGGGATGGCACATCCAAGAGGGTGGCCTCAATTCATCATCAAAAAGGACAGTTAAAGATCTGTCTCGAAGTACAGTGCAATCGGTTCCCAGATAATAGCTATACATCTACAAGAAATCCAGTTAATACAGTTATTATTCAAGTGTACGCACCAACCGCTAAAACCAGTGATGAAGAAACAGAAGAATTTTACCAGCTTCACTCCGGAATTGATCAATTGTGCCATCAAGATGCATTGATAATTACTGGCGATTGGAATGCAAAAATTGAAAACAAAGAAGAAGGAACCGTAGTTGGGAAATGTAGCTTGGATGTAGAAACAAAGCTGGAGATTTCCTGATAGGATTTTACAAAATCAACCACTCCATCATTGCAAATCCCTTTTTTCAACACCATAAGCAGTGACTAAACTATGGGCTTCACCAGATGGAATACGCAGGAGTCACACTGACTCCGTCTGTGAAAGAGATGATGCGGAAGCTCAGTCTAATTATTGACAAGACAAGGCGCTGACTATGGAACGATTATCATACGCAAGTTCACACTGGAGCTTCAGAAAATTAAAGCAAGCCCAGGGGAGCCATAGCACGATCGAGTGTATCTCCCACCTGAATTTAAAGATCATCTCAAGAATAGAAGACACATTAAACAGGAATGATGGAGACCCGGCAAGCTATGGAATGACATCAAGAACATCACATATACAAAGCAAAAAGTCGTTAGCATTACAGGAAAGAACCTTTTGGCTGTCAGAAGAGGCTGTGGTAATTAGGTTTTCTGTGCCAACGGGGCTCCCATAGGAACATGTGGGCAAAGTTTAGACTGTCAATCAGGTCGCAGCTTGATTGGAGGGTGACATAAAAGGCTTTTCCGATGCCAGCCTGCCTCTGTTTTTCTCACTGGTGGTCGGACCAGCAGAGATGCTGCCGGAGTTAGCTGCTCTGCCTTAATCCTGTGTTGCACTACCTGTGGGCTGAGCCAACCCATGGATCGTGGTTTATCTTATCACTGTGCTGTGCTACACCTTGAGGCCCCATTGTGACCTGCTTTGCCACACTGCTGCACTACTGGCCTCTGCGACACCTCAACATCTCATCTTCCTGCATTCTCCATCATTGCATGTGCCTGCGTGAGTCAGAAGAGCGACTTATAGCGTTGAATCAGACGGACTTGTTTTGGACTCGGCTGGGATGTTTTCTTGATATCCAATTACTCCTTGATATAAAGCTCTTTTTTACACATATGAGTGGTTCTGGATTTGTTTCTCTAGTCAACCCAGTCTAACATAGACTTTGAAGCTTGCTCTTGAATATAGAGTAGCTAAAACAAATGAAAGAAATGAAATAGAAGACCTGAACAGAAAATTCAAATGGGGCAGCTTGAGAAGACAAAGCAGATTATTATAATGAAATGTGCCAAGACCTGGGATTAGAAAGCCAAAGGAGAAAAAGACAGTATATCTCAAGCTGAAAGAACTGAAGGGAAAACTCAAATTACAATATTGAAGTATTCTAGGGGCAAAAGGTTGACCAATGCAGGAAGCATCCAAAGAATATGGAAAGAACACACAGAATCACTATACCAAAAAGAAATTCGTCAATGTTCAGCCACTTCAAGAGGTAGCAT